CTGTGTGTGTGTGTGTGTGTGTGTGTGTGTGTGTGTTTCTCTTTCTCTCTCTCTCCGTCTCTTCGATATGCCCTCAATACTTCAAGTGCTCAACCTCACGGGCTCACTGTCTCTCTCTCTCACTCTTTACTTCCTGAATACACTCGCCTCTCTCTCTACTACCCTACTCGGATATGTCAGACTTCTTCTCTCCCCGCTCAACCGTAACTTTTTTTTTTTTTTTTTTTTGAATTAGACATGCTCCAATCTCTTCGTGGGGAGCAACATGTGCTGGGAGCCGGGCCCAGCGTCCCATTCAAAAACATATGGCTTCTGTCGCCCTACTCTTCCTTCGTCAATCTCCGACTGTCCAACCCGTTGGTCACACAAGTGCTACAGCAGAGCTTCCGCAATGTCCGCAATGTGCAAATTGACAAGTGACCGGAACAGGTACCGGAGCATCTATAAATAGCATCTCTTGGTGGTCTTTGTCTGCTCCCCCCCTTAACGATCCCACATGGGGCTCTGGGACTAGGACTCGGAACATGGACGCGGCGTGAAATCCTTTCAACTTAGACCCCCCCTTTGATGAAAGAGGGGGGTATTTCAAGCTTGGTAGTCGCTGATGACCACCTCCCACCTATCCTACACATTTCAACGCAAGAGTGGTTGTCAGTGCAAAGCTATAGTAAAGGTGCACGGGGTCTTATTGTCTAGCCGCTGGTACTCACTGATCCCATGTTGGAGACAGCGGGGCAGTCGTTACACCATTCGTGCAGGTCGCTACGTACTTGTATTGAACCTCCCCACAGTCGGTTCGGCAAAAGACACGTGGGTGCAATTTTGGCTTGAAATTTTTAAAATTTTAAAGTGTAAACTACACGAATACGAAGACAAATGGAGAGCATGTTTTGTCCCGCCGAAAGGAACCCCGAAATTGAAACGGCCTTCTTCACCCCGATACAACGTACGGTCATTATTGCTCTATAAGAGTGTATAATAATATATAGACAGAAAGATACCCCAAATACAGCTATAATGACCTTACATTGTATTCGGGTGAAGAAGGTAGAAGAGGTGATGGGACCAGAGACCTGGGAACTCTGCTAGAGGGTCTGGACTCTGGACTTGAGGACTGAATTGGAAGGGGAAAAAAAAAAAAAGCTTTTAAGAACTTGGAGGAGCCCTGAACCAAACAGTAGAAAATCCCATACCGAGATTCGAAAACCCCACAATCCGCATTGCAGGACCCCGAACTCGAACAATTGTTGAAGTACTAAGTACTAAGTTGAACTGATTTGGAAGCTGCTACTTGCAAGTTTGTTTTTCAGAAGCCTGGCCTGAGAAGTAAATTAGTCACTCATTATCAAACAGGCTGTAGAACCCTGAGGCAAGACTGGAACAACCCCCCCCCCCCCCCCCCCCCCCCCCAAAAGCTGCATGGCAGAACCCTGAACCAGACAAACTGTTAAGTACTGAGTTGAACGGAGTAGAAAGTTCCTCCCCCCTTCTCCTCCTTATAAGTTTGTTTTTCAAAAGGTGGAAAATTCCCACACCAAGATGCATGACAGAACAAACTAAGTATAAGTTTGTTTTTCAGAAGGTGGAAAATCCCACACCAAGATGCATGACAGAAGTCACAGAACCCTGAACCAGAAAACTAGAGTCAGGGTAGCTGCTCGCATTATTGAAGCTAACGCTCGCATTACTGATTTTTTTTTTTTTTTTTTTTTTTTTTTTGAACAACACGCCCCCACCAGTGTTAGTGGTGCCGATAAGAGCAGACACCACTAACACCAGGGGAGAGGCTCCATCTATTGGTGGGGACCATCACCTGCTGCTGGGAAACGGGCCCAGCGTCCCATATACAGATTGAATTTGCAACATGTCAGAAAAAGAACCATTGTCCATGTGGTTGCATCCGGGCCAGAACTCATGATCTGTTCATGAATGGATACGTGCGTGTTCCAGTCGGGCACATACGCTGGCTCTTGCAAGTTTGTTTTTGCGGTGCTTTGTGTATACAACAACATTTTGGGATAAGACGGGGGGCCAGGGGGGGGGAGGGAAGTAGTGTTATTCGGAATCGCTAGGCGTAAAACGGGCACTTAGGCGATGAATTTAGGCGCGAAGCGGTGACAGCCGCCAGCTTAACTGGTGGAATATGGGTTCCTGACTCTCGATGTTGTTCAAGCCAAGGAGCGCATTTGGGTTTAGGTACTGGTTGGTGATCTCACAGTGACTGTCTGGTTGGATTCCTTGGTTGCAGGTGACGGCAGCAGGATGGGCAGAAGGGGAGTGCAAGGGTAAGGCCGGATGGTTCCCCGCTACGTTTGTGGAACACAGGCAGCGCGTCCCAGCGAGTAAGATCATGGAGGTTGGGGTTACCGCGTAGAGCGGATGGATGCGTTGAGGGAACGGGGTGGGGGTGGCGAGAGTGGGCGATCGAAGGGGTTGCATTGCCCACAACCTGTACTGCTGACATCTGCTGTCCTCTCCGCATTCCTCCGCTGTTCGGATACATGATAACGTAGGGCCTCGCCGCCTCGCTCCACTACACACTGGGACTAAATGTTATCTGTACCTGCACGAGGTCAAATACGTTCAAAATGTTCGATCAGTCCACTTGTATGTGGTCTACGGCGCTGTCCACATACCTTTCGGATGTTGAGTAGTGAAGCTAGGCCCCCCGTACACTGATTAGCGTATTCCTTTGTCGATTTCAGTGCATGCCAACCAGCAGACCAGTCCTCTGTGAGGGTAGAGGGTGGATGCGGACCAGCAGCCAGTCAGCGGCACCGCAGGGCCTGCTTTGGAAGTGCCGGTACGCAGCTCACTCCATTATGAAGGTACTCGTTTAGGACTACCTTCTTCTTCCCCCGAATACAACGTACGGTCATTATAGCTGTATCTAGACTGAAAAAGGCCTCACATACATCTATAAACACCGTACGTTGTATTCGGGGGGGAAGAAGGTAGTTAGACATGAGGATTAAAAAACGAGTTGCCGACTGCCGACTGCCATGATTGAGTGAGGTGAGCGGTAGATAAAAAAAAGCATGCGACCTCACGGGAACCGCCATAGCGAACGTCAGATGTGATTATGTTGGAGTTGCTGGCAGACCGGATGGCGAAGCAAGTGGGTTCGAGCAAGGACGTAAGTCATGTAAACAATACAATATAGGGCGAAATCATCTCCCGACCGCACTGCAACGTACCACCGGAATTGCATTCCAGGGAAGTGATTTCGTATTTGAGAGGGTTCAAGACCACTCCACTGATCGGACTAGCACATCGCGGTGGTGGATGTGGATTGACGACTATTCCTTGCATGGGGACAAACGACTCGCTGTTATCCTATCGAAGAAACGGTGTGTTGCACGTGTGTTTTTCTATTTCAGAGAAATGAAGGGTTGCTCTTTTCCTACCCGTCAACCGATCCCTCGTTGCTTTCAAGTGCGTTCGGAAGATCGATTGTCCCATCGCAGCTCCATGTAGAGGATTGATTATCACAACTGGTTGGTACTTTGAAGTTCGAGAGGAAGATTGAACCTCGCGTCTCTCATTTCTAGACTTGGTTTGTTACGTAATACGGTCAGCCAGCAAAGCAGGGGGTATGCTTGTTGGTATATTGGGGATCGATTTGCGTCACGACCTTGCAAAGCACTCTGTTCCAGTTCCCACCCAATGGTGGACTCGTTACTAACTATGGTGCTACGCCGACGTTGGGCATGTGTTGCGCTGAGAGGGTGCGAGACTGGTGGTGAAGACACTAAGAGTTTTTTTTTTCCTTTTCCCTTTTTCAGGCTAGCTGGGTTCATCAGAACCATGTTATGTTTCAGGGTTTCACATGGCTGGTTTTGCCGAAGAATGCTGCGGCATCACATGAAGAAGTCGGCGACATGTCGCCTGTCAATCCTAGGTCAGACCTCTCACACCAGTGAACCAGAGAACATTTTTCATCCCAATCCAAGGCCTGTTTCTTGAGGCCTGATCTGAGTGATTGCTCAAAAAATGTGGGCACTAGCCTGTTTCTTGGTGGTTGCATCCTAAGCTCTGACGGGCTTGTTTCGCTGTCTGCAGGCCTCCGTTTCCATCCAAACTTCTTCATCTACAATCACGCGTCAATACACGCAGCGTATGTGTGTTTTTCTGTGCTCTTCTTGCCACCATCCAATGTGCGCGCAGATGGCGTAAGCCGTAAGAGCTGCCTGCTTTTCCCAAGGAGTACTGCGTACTGCGTACTCCTTCCAGGAAACCGAGTTTCCGTTCACCGACTGCACACGGACGGAGAGAGTGCCGCTCGATATATAGTTCGAGCGCAGTAAGTCGTGTGCAGCAATCGATCTGCGAGCACCTGACGGGTATACGTCCAAAACAACCTTGATAAGGTTGCTGCATTTGCCGTGAACGTTTCGTTCTCTCGTCAGCAGAGTTTCAATCTTCGGCCGGCACTCCGAAAGCCGGCAGCGGTCCTTATTTCAGATCATCTGGCGTGTCCAGGTTCGTCCCGCTGTTCCCAGTTCGCAGAGAATCAAGGAAAAAAACAAATGTGTTGCTACTTTCATTCAGACGCGCACTGATACTGCTGCTGCTCTTGCGTGCTCTTCGTGTGTGTTGCTGTGTTGCATCCTCCCTGAGATAAAAGTCTTCATCATTCTCATTCCTGGACTCCACAAATACATTTACTTAACAGCCCTTTGCCCCAAGGGGTGTTTGTCTTTTTTCTTTTTTTCTTTCCTTTCGAGGGCAACGGCCTTTTGATATCATTGAACTGCCTGGCCCTCAGGTAATTCAGAATTATTTTATGGTTTTTTAACTTTTTTTTTTCCATCTGATTGTCTGGATTCCGACTGGTTTCTGCATTTCAACAGTTCATGGGTGTACCAAGCTACTACCAACTTTTTTTTTTTTTTTTTTTTTTTTTTTTGCAAAAACACGCCCACCGGTGTTAGCGCTACTACCAACTGACATCCAGCAGTACGTAGTTGCTTTTGTGCGAAAGTGGAAAACACTTTGAGGGTGTATGCGCAGCTTCACTCTGCCAAAGGCCAAGTTATGCCAGTAGGTTCTCCGTTGGCCCAGCGCGGCGGTGTCTGGTATGGAAATCAGAGGGCTGTGAGGCAACATGCATGTGACAGAAGCTGCGCAAGTTACCGAGCAGAGGCACGTTGAAGTCTTGGAAGATTGATTTTCAATCCGAGGAAGCGGATTGATTTTCGATTCGAGGAAGCGATCACCAGGCCTTCTGGAAGGGTGTGGCGGACTCGTAAAGCGAACCACGACTGTGGAGAAGCCGAGCCTTCGCTGTTGCTCGGCTTTCAGCACTTTCATTCAAGGTGCTTCACGGAACCGAACGAAAGTCCACGGGGCATTGTTCTTTGGTTAGTGCTCATGTGCTTGATCTCATTTATTAGGTCATAAGAGTTTTTTGTTAATACAAATTACGTGGCTGTAGTGGGTAAGAGAGTTGGCTCTTGAGGCCGAGGTCGCCGGTTCGAGTCCGAGCATATGCATGCATGCACGGAGGAGGGCCTGTTATTGAAGTCTTGATCCTCTTGAAGATCGAGTTCCGACAATCCGAGGAAGAGATCACCATATGCCTTCGTAGGCACACCGTGTCCTGGCTTGTAGTCGTTAAGAGAGTTGGCTCTTGAGGCCGAGGTCGCCGGTTCGAGTCTGAGCATGCATGCATGCACGGAGGACGGCCTGTTATTGAAGTCATGATTCTCTTGAAGATTGAGTTCCGACCATCCGAGGAAGAGATCACCATGCCTTCGTAGGCACACCGTGTCCTGGCTTGTAGTGCTTAAGAGACTTGGATCTTGAGGATGAGGTCGTCGGTTCGAATCTGTGCATGCGCAGAGGGCTTGGGCCCAGATGCATGGATCCAGAAAACAGCGCTGTGTGCTCTGCTATGGAAGCCCGATGAACGAGTGGCAACGTGCATGCACAGGACAGCAGCCTCTGACACAGGAGAGGCGTGTTAAAAATTGTCTTTTTTTTTCTCTTTTTTCTTTTTTTCTCTTTTTTTTCTCTTTTTCTTCTTTTTTGACAGGGGTTGGGACGTAGGGCATGGAAGGGTGGTGGACTCGTAAAGCGAACCATGATTGTGGAGAAGCCTTTGCTGTTGCTCGGCTTCAGCCTTCAGTACTTTCTTTTTTTTTTTTCCTTTTTTTTTCCTTCTGAAAAAAGGTCCAGGGTGTAGTAGAGGGTGGAGGCCAAGCCTCAGGGAGTGCCTCGGTACTCATCCATTGGGAGAACAGTGTTCTGCACGAACGTTCATTTCATGGGCCATTGTTCTTTGGTTTGTAGTTAACTTAGCACTCTTGTCCTTTATCTCATTTAGGTCATAAGAGTTTTCTAATACACACATTATGTGGTTACTCAAAGTGAATAGTGAGTAGTATAAAATAATAATAGTGTGAAGATTGTTTGTTTTATTGTGAGAAGTGCACATCATTCTTTTTAGCAAGTTTGCAGAACTATTTGCTGAAGAGGACACTTTAAATTTACGACCCGGGCTTCCTTGCGATGATGTGTGCTCCCTTCACTCCATCTGTCATTCCAGTCCTCCCCCTCTCTCTCACATACAAAGTGTTTCAATGGTGGATGTGCTCACCTAGTGTTCTTCATTTTCTGCTACAGAGTTAAAGCTGCTTCAATTTTGGAGGCTGTTGTGGTGATACACACATACTGACATAAATTCACATAATGGCTTCAGAACTTTCAGTGTTTTTCATGTTGTTTGCTGGAAAGTCAATTCTCCCATTCATTTACAGGCCTCGCTCGAGGCTTGTTTTCGCGAAACTGTTCTAGAGCTAAAGCTGTCTCAAATTTCAATTTCTTGTGCAAAGAAGAGCCATACTAATACTAGAGCAAGGCTGTTTCAAATTTCAATGTTTTTTATTTATTTATTTATTTTTATTTTATTTTTTCCCCTTCCTGTTCTCTCTCTTCCTCCGTCCCCTCCTTTCCGTTTCCTTTTTTTTTCCTTTTAAAGGGGGAACGGCCTTGAGATATCATCATTAATGACCTGACCGGCCCTAGGTAATTCAGAAGTATGTTATTTTATGTTATTTTGCTCAATATGACTGCATCTGGATTCGAACTGAGGTCTGTGTTTCAGCTTTCAACAGATCATGGGTGTACCAACTGTGCTAGCAGGCCCAACTTATATGGGTGCTTATATGGGTAGAAAAGGAGTCGTTGTGGTGACGGTTCATTAACACACACTCGCACGCACAGCTTGGGGGGGGGGGGGGGGGGGGCGGAGGAGAAAGCAGGTAATCAGGGTGATTTCAAGAATGGGCCCAAGGCAATTGATCATGCATCCTTACTCCCCCCCCCGGGGCTCTCTTTCTAGACGGTATAGAATATGTCTAGTCCTGTGTCCCCCCCTTTTTGAGGTTTTTTCGCTTTCTTTTTTTTTTCGTAATTTAATGTCGTTGTGGTCCGATGGACAAAAAAAAAATTCCTTTTCTTCCGCTATTCATTTCTTCTTTTTCGTTTTTTGTTTTTTTCCTCGTTTTGCTTTCTTTTTTTAAAAAGTGTTTTTTTATGAGAGTCCATGGCTTCGCTTTTGGTATTCTTTCTCTATGAATTTTATCTCAACACCTATTGTACGCTACCAGCCGGACCGCCCGGGTCTAGGGTCGCCAGCCTGTGCAAGGACAAGCGAAGGTCCCAACAAAAAAAACAAAAATCCAAGAAGTCCGAAAAAAAACTACGTTATGCAGAAAAATAAACTGAACAACTTTTTTTTTCTTCGGGGGTGATCATAACTGTCTATATTCTTCTCTCAACTTCTGTTTGTTTTGCCTTCCACTACCTACTCCTAAGACTATCTAGAGGGGACCCCTGCAAGCATAGTTTTTCCTTCCTCTGTGAAGGGGAGATTTCATGTTGCCCCTTGCCCCTAATGTTTAGGGTATAGGGTTGGGGCCGCCAGTGGGGGTCTGGCTAACACAAAGACCGAGACCTGCCAGTAGCTGTGCCTCCCTTTCTCATCATTCCCCACCCTTCATCGAGTAGCAGCAGAGGCTATGGCCAACTCTCTCCCACACACCACACACAACCCACTCGCGCTCACACTCACACCCGTGTTGGTCATAGACCCCGCTAATACCGAGCAGGGGTATCCAGAGGACTATCACAGTCCGTTGGCCTTAAGTGCGCTGCAGGCGGCCATGGGGCTTGAACCCACAACCTCCTGAATACCACTTGCATGCCTAACCAACTGAGCTAGGCCGTTCTGCCTCAGGGTCACATTGAAACTCTTCCCGAATTTAAAATATAAAATATTATAAAACATATATTTATTATTTATTATTTTTTTATTTTTCTGGCCCGGCTGGGCAAGTGACCCCGGGCCACTCTGGTAGTCTAGCTCAACACTAGAAATTTCCCTTTCCTCTATCGTGCTCGGTATCGTGCTCCAATGAACCGGTTTTGAAGGCATTCCAACGGTCGACCTGATGACTTTCACCAAGCAAGCAGGACTAGATTAACACAATTGCATGTATTAGTTCAGGCAGACGGTTTACCTTTAATCTATCCCGCTATTTTATTTCTAAGCAGAACTAGATTAACACAATTGCATTCAATGCAATATATAGGAAAACAGTGTTTTTGTCCTGACCGAACGCATCGAGTTCCTAATCCTGCCCACACCTCACATTCACGAACCCGTTCAACCGCGCCGCGTAGACATGGTTGGGGGTTGAGGCACAAACTTAGTGTCATTTGATGAGTAATAAAAACTAAAGCAGAAGCATATAAAAAAAAAAAGTGAAAAAAAATAGATAAATAGGCAATAGCAGGGAATAAAGATTTTTCACGATACATTGGTTTGAAGAAAGTCCCGTCATGGTAGCGCCTTATGTGAAGAAAAAAAAAAAACCGATGAAACCTTCCTGAAGCGACAGATCTCGCTGAGCCCTTTTGGTAGTTCCACTCCAGCAAATTTGTTCATAAATTATAAAACAAACAAATATATATATATCGTCACAAATAGAACTGCCCGGTAAACCGTAGGCAGAGAGAGAGAAGAGGACAACAAACGAGGGGCTGTGACAAACTGTTTCGTCGGAGTTTCACCGACTCATCAGGAGGCTGAACCCTCAACAGTCTGCAGAATCCCCTCACTGATTACACTGTAAATGATAATCTACCTTAACCAAAATCAAAGTAGACTATCACTCACCCACACCAGATGGAAAATATATACTCACTCAAAGATTGTTTAATAATGAAACAAAAATTTGTAACATATGTGTTTGCTTTTTTGGGGCGGTTTTTGGTCTTGTAACATATGCCTCTTTCGATATGAATAAATAGAAAAGTTAAGAAAACTCAATAAGTCCCTTGTCCCCCAATTAATAGCGCACCTTTGCTACTAACACCTTTTTTAGGGTGTCTGGAGCATCAAAATGGTGTGATGGCTCTGAGTTTTTGTTTTGTTTGCAATATCAAGTCAATCTATTCTGAAAATTATTATGTCACGATATAAAAATAGTACGCCATCTTCGTCCATTGTCAGGGTTCACCCAAAACCTATGTAAATGTAAGTTTCAATATTTAGGTTCATCTACTAGATCATTGTTTTCTAGTCTCAAATTTACCAACAGTTAAAACGATTTTTTCCTTTCATTTTTGTCACTTTTGTTAGTTTGTAGTCTTGTTGGCATGATTCCTTAACGCATGCAATATAAAGTGATTTGTCAAGCAAACGCCTTTTTGAAACTAAAATTTAATTGTTTGACTGGTCTTCCTTTCTAGTAGTTGTTTTTCATAATGCACAAAATTCAGTCTCTTGAGTTAGCCGCAAAGCTCACGCAAACGTAAAAGAAGGATACATGGGAGACCCATTCAACTCCGCAAAGCTCACACCAAACCCCTATTAAGAAGTATGGATTTGTGCGGAGTTGAATGGGTCTCCCAAGTATGTCATTCAACTCCGCAAAGCTCACGTTTTTGGACCATACGTGAGACTTTCTTCGAAAGTTTGATGCCAAACAGTTTGGGAAAAATCCCAAACAATCTAACGACTGGTTCACAATTTCTTTTAAGTTCTCTGTTTCCAAATTAATTTGAAGAAAAGACAAAATAACACAAGTAAACCTGAAGTATAACAAAATAGTAAATTACTAAAATAAGAAATAAAACGGAATGAATTGGGTTTCCAGCAGACTAGCACGTTTAACTATAACGCCAGAAAGCACGTGATCGTACGCTGAGATGCCTCATATCGTGTGGTGGACATGGTCACCTAGGTTTGAATTGAAAGAGTCTGAAACGACATGTCATTACAACACAACCTTTAGCTAATACCGGTGAAGGCCACCAATAAAGGTTGGGAAAGAAGTGTTTCTTATGATTTATTGGACCTCGGCATGAGTAGAGACCCAGAAAGTTGCCTTTGTTTTTTTGTGTTTCTTATGATTTATTGGACCTCGGCATGAGTAGGGACCCAGAAAGTTGCCTTTGTTTTTTTGTGTTCCTTCTAATATCTACATTAAAAATTTCACTTTCCTCTATCTTACTCCAGTGAACCGGTTTTTTAAGTGTATCCCAAGTGTGATTTAAAAAAAGGCACTAGAAAACAACACTCCATCACTTGTTTTTTGAAGTCATCATTTCGCGCGTTTTCATAAACCCAATATATTTATGTTTTACGCGAGCAACGTAGGCTTTTAGAGTAGAAGATCGAAAAATCGAAATGCGTGAAATTCGTTCTATTTGGCATTTTACTATCCAATGCGCGAAGTTCAAAACAAATTTTACTTTATAAGGAAGAAATTCTAGTAGGTCTTAGTTTTGTGGGTTTTGTTTTATTTTATTTAGTTAAAAACCTTTTGCCAAAATTTTCAAGGCTACTCACTAACAGTACCCATAATAATATCGAATTATGCTCGGCACGTTGATAAAGAGTTTATAAATTATAATATGTTAGCGGTGTACGAACGCTTGACCACATGCATTGTAACGCAAAAAATTGGCCCCGCACATCACAACTTCAGAAAAAAAAAATCATGATTGCGCCAGATTGTTTCATTTAGCTTTCACCGATTCGTTTGGATGTCGAACCCCAACAGTCTGTCTATGATGCATTTGATCGATAGATAAGGACTCAACGCGTCAATCAAATCCTACAATCCTGCAATCCTAACAAATTGTCATTCCGACCCTACAATCCTGCAATACTAAAAAATTGTCATTCCGACCCTTCCGACCCTACAATCCTGCAATCCCACTAGACTCTCATTCCGACCCTACGATCTTGCAATCCTACTAATATGCCTAATAATACCCATGAGAACACCACCCCTGCAATCCTACCAGACTATCATTTTAAAATTTAAATCCCTGCAAAGCCTAATATACTTTTGGCAAAAAGTATATGATGAATTTGTCTATATGTGTGTCGTGGTAAAATCTGCACGCACGGTCCGAGATTATCACCA